CTTAATTCTAAATGTTGGTCATTAGTTTTCCTCACTCTCCACCTACGAAGGCAAATTCCCAAACATGTTTACCTAAGATATTATTAAAAGTAATAAAACAAAACCAACGTTGATGTTTCATTAATCAATTATTATGCAGGAGGGCATGTGAAGTAATAAATAAGAAAACTCTCTTACTGCCAGGTCTGTAGGCAAAATAATCACAATTGACGCACTTAGTAAATCCGCTGAGAAACCACGGTACGGATCAGAACAGAGAAGTCGAAACAAGAAAACAGAATATAACAATTATTACTTGAAAATAATATTTTTTGCGTGTGTCTTAAAACAGGATAATTTAAAATCCTTCAGACCAGAGACTGTAGGGAATCAAACTTGGCAGGGAACATACAAGCCTACTAGTTCACAGCCAAAGCTACCAACAATTAGCGGACCTGCAGTGGCCCATTAACCACCGTTTGAGAAACACTGCTTTCAGTAACTGAATTTCCGCAGAGTTACGAAAAGATTTACTATAAACACACGTTTAAGAAGCCAGGGCTATTTCCATACCAGAAGTGGCTTCTGAGGTCGAGGTTTGAGTTCTTGGAGTGGAGAAGGGTCAGAACTTGATAGTAATTACGCAGCGTTGCATGCATCGCGTCTTGTCCAGCCATGCAGACCTGGTCAACCTTTCCAAGTAGCCGTACTATAATGACCAGCAAGAGAGACCCCCACGCAACGCTAACTCCAGCACGCACTCCGACCAACACGACAAGAGAAGGAAAGAAATTGCTCTGCGCACCATTTGTATTATACCACTCACTGCCTTGGCTTTTCAAAAGAGATTAGTTCAAACGCAACCGACCGGCAACCATAACCGATATCTGGAACTTGTAAGAGGGGGTTTACTAGGAAGAGAATTAAATTCTTTACTATAAGACCTGGAATTATAGAAAAATGAATTAGGTTTGCATTTATTTAATTATGGTTTATGTCTATTCAACGAATCTCAATTGCTCAGAGTGTCTGGTGTCGAATTTATACGATTATTAATAAATAATTACTTACAAAGGACGTGGAAGGACACGGTAGTTGGCTAATTTCAGTTACTATCACGGTATCTGTGTGGATGAAGCGAGAAATAATCACGATAAACGCCAGTCAGAGTTGAAAATTAAATCTATACTTCCCAAATTCTAAGCACTAGAGCTAACCACTCGATGTAATGTGCCTAAGCACCACACGATGAAGGCTTATACGAGTAGTGAAGGTAAACTTATGCATATTTTTAATTTCGCTAATACAATGAGGAAAGCCGGTCTGAACAACGTGGTGAAGAGAGAAATATCTGCTACTGTTATTTTTTTAATATTATTCTCCGATATACGCCTATGTCTCTCAAGTAACCTCTTTCCTTCAGGGTTTCCAATCTCAATTCCGTATGCGTGTGACTATATCTATAAGCAGCATATCTACTTAAAATACAATGAGAACACTGTACGCGCTACACGAGGTAAAAAAGTACCCCTCCGCTGTACTGAATGCAGAATAATTGTTAATATCCTTGAGTTGTGAACTCTGTAAGAACTGCAGATTCGCAGCAGACTTAAGTGGCACTCTGTATGATCATTAAAGTTCCCTTCGTTACACTGTGTTCAGAGCAATTGGCGTTGCAATGCCATTGTAAACTCAGTGCTTGCGGTTACTTAGGAAGCCTGTGGAAATGAAACCGTTGTAAGGTTAAGCAAACATGAGCGACCACTATCACTGAAATTAAAGTTTAGATGTGTATGTTCTCCTCCCTTTATTCACCCTTAAACGATCTGCCTCTTCTTTATTTTCATCTATTTAACTTACCTTTCCTACAAAAAATATTTCTTTACGTCGTGTTTCTTTCCATATTAACCCATGTTTCCATGTATTTCTCAACTCATTCTTTTGTGACATAGTATCTTAATATCTTAACCATCTGAAGCCGAAGTATGTTCAAATAATATTAAAGTATTCAGTTCGTACCGCAAAGAAAACACAACGCTTCACCTTTACAAAGATCAATTGGTTAAAGCTGTTTAAGGAAATAATCCCTGTTCAAAGTGTAAATTATATGAAATCCCCAAATACGAAATAAAGCCTATCAAATCAAATAACCTAAGAATCTATAAAGCGTGGAAATTTCTTTATGAACTATAAACACAAATGTCGACGAGAGGTTCTGTCTTTCCAAATTTGTACAAAAACACCAAGTCGTTTTCGAAATTTCTTTTGTAATTTGAAATTCATGCGCCTCAACAGGCCTGCAGAACACGAGTCATTGCTGTGAATAACGTAAACTATTTTCTCAGGCATGGCGCTCCTGTTTGCCATAATATTACCTGCATGTCTATTACCAACCCTTGTTCACTAAAACACTGAAATTCGTGTTATCAAATTGCTTCTCTTTTTACTTCACTGAAAATAAAGATAATTCTCTTTGTCCCTTGTTCATGTTTTAGAACATATCATCTATACCCTATCTGTTGTCTGCAGTAAGAATTATAATTTTCGTATGAATAACTATCATACAGCTAAAAACCTGAAGCTGTTTCAAGTGTTTTCTTTTACACAAAACAAAATAACATAAATAATTTCATACAATTGTACGCCTCGTTTCATGCTCCAGTGCATGAGTATTGATAAAGAAGAATTTCTTGAAAAATATAACTTATCTCTCTTTTGTGCAAGAAATCTGAGTGTAACATGTAATTTCTGTTTGCATGGATAAATACCGACAGAGTTTCAATTGCACACACATGATTATATCGTCGTCATTATCATTTACGAGAATTGCGTTCTGAGTGTGTTATTATGAAAAAGACCAGCTCTGTTAATTACGAGCGCAACTTGGCTCGGACATGAAACAAAAGATACTGCACGTCGCATGACGTCAGAGGCCATGATCACTCGTGTACACAAAAAGGCCCCGAAGTGCGTGTCTCGTAAGCAAGTTTTCATCATCGCATCACTGACGGCCGGGCTTCGAGTACCAGTCGGAGTTCCGGTTCTTCGCTTACTCACCTCCTTCCACGGGTCCTTCTTCGGGACTTGGTAACTCACACATCCCTCGCCGCCTGTTCGTTCCCCACTTAGAATTCCGAACATAAACACTAATTGTCCTAACTCTATGGAGCAGAGTTCTTCTTAAGCAGTTGACAGTCGTTCAGTTATTCAGAAAATTTCCCGCCTTTGATGTAACCCAAAGGTTCATTAACGTGTCCACTTAACCCCACCACTAGACCTTACTCTGAGCCAGATGAACCCAGTCCGGATGTTTCGAACAGATATGCTGTCGCCATCTTCAGGGCTAAAAGTTCCGAGTAGTCTCTTCCTTTAAGGCTCTCAAATTAAAATTCTGTAAGACATTTCATTTTCCTAACTTTTCTTTAAGTTCTGTCATGGTTTTGGATCTATATTTGGGATTTATAAACTAGAGACTCGATTGTTCTGTTGATGAAGTAACTTAAATATAAGGTCTAAATAAAACGTAACTGAATAACTGAATACGCATCACATCTGTTGGCAGAAATGTCTCAGTAATCCAGCAGTCTGTTTATTTAGTATGACAAACAGTGGGTTAATTAAAAAATACCACATACCCTACAGTTAAGAAATGATCTAAGAACAAATCAAGATTAATTTTGGGACAATAGTGAATGTCTCAATGGAGATATCTCGTCTGATGAAACTAAAAAGTTTTCAAGCTAAGACATCTGTGTTATGACCTCGTACAATGATGTTTACAGTTATGAAAACTTAAAATTCTCAAATAACCTTAAGATAGACGTGTTTTGCTCTTAGGTACATAACCTACAATTCTTGGGATACTTTTTTTATTTTTAATAATAATGAAACTGTTCATTTCATGAAGACATATGCACATACAAATGCGTGTAGGATAATTACCGATGAATCAGTCCGTTACGTTAACAGGCAAGTTCCGCGCTGATGTACCCAAAGCGATACAGGCATCAGAATTTTCTCACGTCCCAATATCCGATCACATAACATTTCAGCAATACATTTTTGCTCCGAAACGACATTACCCTCATAATAGGCGTGCACAGTATGTGGTATTATCGTGTGGCCCAGGAAGTTACTATATTTTAAGGACCTCGTAGGTACTCTCGGTTTAAAACTCGGCTAGTTCTACCTGTCTGCCCGTCCGTTTTCCTCCATGATTTATCTCAAAAATATCATGGAATGATTTAATGGCATTAGGGGTTACCACACTATATGTTATCCAAATAGTTTTATTACGTTACACATTGCTTAATTATACATCTTAGTCTACTTTACATAAAATTCTAATAGAAATTGATTAATTTTTCAAAAAGGGCATATCGAACAAAAACTGTAAATTAGTCTACAAAGAATAAAGGCCTGATTAAGACGTAGCTACAACTTGTATTCTAAACTTTATTTTATACGTATGTCATATCGTTGAAGAAATTGAAGGAAATTTAACAACTGCCTGTAGCAAAACGTTGCAATGAACACGCTTCGAAAAAAAAAAAATGCATTCTCTAAACCTGAGCAGGGAAGTGGAAATCAGAAAAGTAATTTGTAACAGATACCTCCGTTTTCCTTCTTGATCCTTGAGATTAGTATGACAGGAAAATTTTCAACTAAGCATTTAACGACTACATAACCTCTGTGCATCATACACAGTCGCTAAATAAATGAACTAAGAGTGGACTTAAGTTTCACACAGATAAAATATAAAATTGGCCTAATATTATAGTTTTGTGTATTTTTACTTTTACAGTTTCACAAATAAGATGGGAATAAAAAAGAATCTGATCAGATTGGTATCAATTGCTTTTCGGATCTAATCTGATCCCATTTATATTTTTTTGTCAACGTAATTTTAATTTCTTACGTTTCCAAATTTTATCTAAACTTTGCTAACGAACGATTCAGTACAAATGTTACCGAATCGCATATCGTACGCCATGCAATAAGAGATGTGCTTTGCATTCTAGGGACTCTGCGACCTCCGGGGCTCATCGGGGGGAGCAAACCAAAAGTGGCAACCCCTGCCGTCGTGTCCAAAATCGAGCAGTACAAGAGGGAGAATCCCACCATCTTCGCCTGGGAGATCAGAGAGCGACTCATCTCAGAAGGTAAGGCCGCGAAAGCAGAAACCATTTCAACGTCGTGACGCTGACACACAAACTGTCATAGCCGGGAGCCACACCCAGGCATCGGTGTTTAAGAACATTCAATGACACGTTAAACACTACAATTATTAAGTACGAAACATATCGTAAAGCAATTTGTGACCCATAAAAGAAGGGAATGTACTTGGCCGGTCGAATTACTAGCGACTGTTCAAGAGGGAATATATTCTGCGGAATTATTTAATAACTAAAGTACACAAAAATTATATTATTTTCGAAAGTAAGACTAATTTAGATCGAACACTAAGCGCCTAAGTTCCGTTATCTTAATAATAAAGGTGACAACATTGGCTTTTCCGGTTACATAGTACGTTATCGCTGAAAACTTAACCAATGTTACTCAAAATAATATAATGATAACAGAAAGTTTAAAGTGATATATACATCAAAATTTTTAACTTCTTATTTTAAGTAGAATAAATTGCTATAATTTAACGATAGAAATATTTGGAGGTACACGTAATGAGATGGGAAGCGTAAAAAATGATCGCGCTCTTCAGACAGTTATGAAAAATAACTATATTACCTGCCAATTGCCGTGCATTAGGCACAATCTTGCTTGAAGCACCAGGAAGTAACAGAAAATGCACAGGCAAGCTATTCCTTGCGTACAGCAACTGTTAGACACGAAGACGTCTCTACATAATTCATCTGTCATTCAGTTTCTTAGTCTGACGACTTGTGGCAAGTGCGCGCTGGAGGAAAAACTGCAGTAATGACTGTTGTAAGGACACACATCTAACTGCTTTATGGGTTGCATATCTCCTAAATTAGCCCAACTGCTAACTCTGTGGTGCAGGACATTTCTTTAAGTGTTAACAATTATTCAGCTCGCCAAGAAATTTCACGTTTATGAGATACTTAAATTTTAATTAAATACTAATTTCTTGACAAAGGGAAGTACTAACACCATTCAAATAAAGGCTACTCCATTCAGTTACTTTGATATAAATGACAAATCATTGCAGCCAGAAAAGTAAAACACCGTATAGTTACAGTCATTGGAAACATATACTAGTTGATGAAGTTATTCTGGGTTCTGTAGCCGTATTGACTGATGGGTAGAAACCAACGTTTCGGAGGAAATTATTAACTCCGTCTTCAGGGCTGAAGTGATTATGTTGAGAATCAGAGGGATCATATAGGGTGATATGAAGGGATGGGACAATCAGGACGTAATGACGAATAAGTAACAGTTTTTATCCACACAAGTGTAAGCAGAATGACGGGGAATGGGTGAAACTCGGTTCCTCTGTTCTGCGCCCTTATATGGGTCTACTGTACCAGCTTCTGATGATGATGGTGATACTTGAGTATGGAGCACCGATGGCTTGATGATTGTCAGCGGATAACATGAGCAGGCGCACTTCGAGAAACGAAACCGTCTGAATGGCTATCAGGAACCCGACATGAACCGTCATGCGCCTGAATTCGTACATTCCAGTAATGAGTTATACACTAAAAAAAAGAATTGTACATAACTACAACCCTGTCACTATAAATACTTGTTAAAATTAAGTTGCCCTCAGAGAGGACGCTCCCGTACTAGTTCCAGGCAAACCACGACGGCCTCCTCATTAGTAGCCAGTAATTCGCTACAATCTTGTCATCAATGACTTCATCCTGTCATTGCTTACGATGCTGGGCAGCAAAGATAATCAGTTAAACCAAGATTTAAGCTGTCCACGTTCGTGGGTAAAGAGAGGGTGAAATTGTAAGAAGGTCTAAAAAACACGCAACGTATTTACTTAAGTGACAAGCCCTAAATAACTCCGCATTATATAATGAGGTTAGTCAGCATTTTAATTTTTGTAATTAAGGAAATAATTGAGACAGTAGGGCAACATTTCTAGAAATTATTTTTTCTATATTACATTTTAAAACGACGTTTCGGCACCAAAACACGTAATGTCCTCAACTGAAGGTCTAAGCAATGAAACAGATTTTTGTTAAAGAAGCTGTTCATAACTGCACATTTTCATTGTTTTTTGCTAAATATTCAGCAAGAACCATATGTCGTTGACAATTTCATACCCTAAATATTCTACCGTGCATGTTACATTATTTATTTGTCGTTATATCATCGCATCGTATCGTCTATTGAAAACAACATTTAGAGTTCACTTCTGTAATAAGATGCATAGAAGCTGGTTTTATAAAGGCCTGTTCACTTTTAATTTCGTTTTATATAGTACACTCTTCGAAACTTCTTAGAACATTGACTTTACAGGGCTCAATTTTTGTTCATCTTAAATGTTAAGTACCACTTCCATATTGAAGTGTCAAGACTGACGTCACAGCTTACAATATGTGTCTCAAGAATGATTAATCCCACGTCCCTTATCTTATTATAATAAACTCATCACGTACCTTGGCCGATCAATTATGCTTGACTGTCGATTCTTTGCAATGAAAATGTGTTCAAGAAGATGACAGGCCATAATTCATGCATAAAGAAAACTGTAATAATAGACAGGAAATTATATAAAAAAAATTAAACAAGTTATTTAATAATTTTAAGACCAAATATTCTAACTTGCATACTTTTAAGGACAAATCGTATAAAATTTACAGAATCTCACTAAATTTATACGTTACTGCCTGCACGTAAAAACGCCTAATCGAAAAACTTTAATGTGGGGATTTGTAAGAAGTATAATATTACAGTGGATCCAGTGATATGATCGTTATGTCAAATTAAAGAACATTTTAAAGCCGGTTTAAATAGCAGCTGTTCTGGCGTCTGTCATGACTAAGATATTTCCTAGCCTTCCTCAGTATCTTCAGGTAAAGAACTTAACCAGGACAGGACTTTAAAATAGGCCACAAGGGGCGGTTACCATATCCTATATCCACCCAATCACAGTTCATGACTAGGCTATGCAGTTGAAACAACGTTGTTATAAGCCTAAGAATCAATTAATTAACACCCAGTTTGATGAAAATCATGCACATTTTTTTACAAGTTAAGAAAGGGACACTGCAGACAAGACACGCAACATTTTCAGAAATCATATACCATCTGAATTAACAATCAGTAAAGCTTTATCTTGTATTTATGTGCTTCATACGATTTCACTGTAAACAACGATTATTTCCTTAAACAAGATGAACCAGTTGATCTTTGTAATTTTAAAGAGTTGTGTTTTCTTTGAGGTACGGGATGAGTTCTTAAATGTTGTTTAAAAGAACTTCGGCTTCAAAGGGTTAAATCAAATGTGTGTTGCCATCTGAATTCTGTGTTTGCAACATCAGCACAAAGATGAACGAGGCGAAGCACCAATAGAGCACCGACCATGTTGTACCGTGGCGTGATTTTGGTGAGGTGAATAATAGGCTTTTGTACTTCAGAAGAGGAGTGATTTGTGGATCAGACGGCTGCAAGCGTGGTTCCTATTAAACAACGATCACCACTTCCATTCTTATACCTGTCGAGAGCCACGTCATTAGGCCTGTAATCTGGATGATTTACAGCCCCACGCTGAGCTCACAGATAGGGGGAACTAATCACTCGCAATCATTTTCTTTAAGGTGGAATTTCGAGACACATAATATCACCAAGTCGATTTCATTCTCACAGTCGGACTACGCGGTAGCAAAGACTCGATGTAATTCTAAGTAACAAACACACTAGTTAACTAACAGACCAACTCCGAGGTGCAGGGTGCCTTGGAAAATTTATTTGTACTCAGACGATCAAGAAATTCCTGCTTTTAAAGAAGTAGGATGTCTTGAATTGTGGTCTTACGGGGTACGTCGTCGTGTGGTCTTATAAGTAGCCACCATATTCAGGTTAGAACCCTAATCTTCAATACCGTTTCCGTAAAACCATTGCCCTCTGTAGACTTACTTAGACAGTTCAATACAGTACACCCCCCCCCTCTGTATCAATAATATACACTTCAAAATTATCCTCCAATTTACTTCTGGGTTCCTATTTTGTCTCCTGCTTTCAGGATTCCAGACTAAAATTTTGTATACACTTCTTATTTTATTCTGTTTATCCATTTTGGTGCTAACATACTCCTCACCTTTCTAAGTGTTTTACCGGTAATAGAATTTGAAAGGGGGTAAGTATATATATATATAAGAAATTTAATAAAGCATTTATTTTTTAATATTGTATAAAATTATAGACGACATGATTGAATTATTTTTACGAAATCCATTTCGGTCCACGGGCCGCATTTTATTCCCACCATTTTAACAAGATGACAGACTAAAATGGCGATGTCTATCATTGCGCGTGTCAAGTAGGAATTTTTGCCTTCCCCAAACTCAGGTCTTCATGAGAACTTCTAATTCTCATTTTATCTGTCTGATATTTAGTTTTGTTTCTGTAGATGCCATTCGTCTTTGTTTTATTACACGAACGACCAATATGGCGCTTTTCTTTATACGAAAACATTTTGACACGGTTTACTTCTGCATGAATTAGACAACAAAGAAGTTGTAAATTCCTATCAACTGCTTCACGCATCGCGCAGCTGAATATTGTCATAGTCTCTGGAACCGATTCAGCCGTCATCACGCATTCCGTTTCACGGGACGCTATTGAATAATAGCAAAGAGTATAACACTTTGTTCTTTAAATCAGTATTGGCCGTCCGACAGAATCTCTAAAAAAGGATAGAAATGACGATTCACGTATTTATAATCAGGGCAATAATTCCGTCAAGAAATTATATTTCAAATTCGATTTGGTCTGATTAATTTACGCTCGAAACTAGGTACATATTTAACCGACAATCATTTGAATTTAATGATATCTTCAAAATACTAAAAAAAATAAGGTTTATATAAAGGCCTAATGTGTTTGCATATTCTGACTATTGAACATAATTTATTATCATAAGTATCTGCAAAACGTTAAAGAAAGTTTCAGACAAAGTAAAATAAATTAAGCAGAGGAATGCGAAAAGAAATAATACACTAACAGCGAT